ACATTTTTTTAAATTCTCTGTTGTCCCCCTTCCCTTTATGTAAAGGAGCTATTCACGCTCTTTGTCAGTCCCTATATATATGTCGTGCCGAATAAATAAAACTGGTCAGTTAGCAAGAATAAGAACTCATGTAAAATTAAGTCCTTTCTAAAATTTTCTCTTATACGTTTAAAGATATATTTTTTCATATATATTAATCCAAAAATTAGAAATTTTGTACCAAAAGTACCTTAGAAAATTTACCTAATCTTATTATAACAAGTGCAATTTAATTTAGCCTAATCCAACTAAATATATTTTAGATAAGTTTACAATAATTTAATAATAAATAAACTCAATGAAATATATTTTTTCGTTAGGTTCAGAATGATTTTTGGGAAATTATTGCATACATAAATTTTTGCTTGCTTTATTCGGCAAGAAGATAGTTGTTATTTAAGTCAAAATCGCAAATTTTAACCATTTGGGCGCACGATATATATATATATATATATATATATATATAAAATAATATATATATATATATATAATATATATATATATATATATATATGTCGTGCCGAATAGGCAGAACTGCGATCTTGGCTTAAATAGCAACGCTCATCTTGCCATATAGGACAAGCGAAAATTTGTGTATGCAATAATTTCGCCAAAATCATTCTGAACCTAACGAAAAAAATATATTTCTCTGTGTTTGTTTAGTATTAAATTATTGTAAACAAATCTAAAATATATTTAGTTGGGTTAGGCTAAAATAAATTGTTCTTGTTATAATAAGGTTAGGTAAGTTTTCTAAGATTCTTTTGATGCAAAATTATAAATTTTTACATTAATATTAATGAAAAAATATATATCTTTAAACGTATAAGAGAAGATTTTAAAAAGGACTTAATTATAATGAGTTCTTGCTAATTGACCAGTTTTACATATTCGGCACGACATATATATATATATATATATATATATATTATAAAAATATATATATAATATATATATAATATATATATATTATATAAATAATATAATATTATATATAATATTTACGTAATATATATATATATATATATATATATATATATATATATATATATATATATAATATGTATATATATATATGTATGTATGTGTGTGTGTGTGTGTGTGTGTGTGTGTGTGTGTGTATGCAGTTACCTGAGATTTTCATGCCTAACTGGGCTAAGTTATGAGCAGATGTTTTGCCACATAGATGTAGCTTAGAGTGCTGGATGTAACATTGTGGAATTCGTTTGTCATTTATGTCTGAACAGATGAATTCCACTCGTCATTACTTTCAGTTCATCTACTCTGTCCTGGGGTTGTCACACGCTGGCTAACAATCTCTCACTCACTCGTTATCTTCCACACATGCTCGCTCATTCTCTTGTTTAGTCGCTCACTCTTTATCGTTCTTACTTCCCTTGCCGTCATTCGTCTGCTCTCTCTCTCTCTCTCTCTCTCTCTCTCTCTCTCTCTCTCTCTCTCTCTCTCTCTCTCCTCTCTCTCTCTCTCTCTCTCTCTCCTCTTTCCCCTCTCTCTCTCTCTCTTCTCCTCTTTCTCTCTCTCTCTCGCTCTCTTTCTCTCTCTCTCTCTCTTTCTCTCTCTCTCTCTCTCTCTCTTCCTCCCTACCTCACCCCGGACCAAGAGAACTACCCATGAAGTCAGCACCCACTAAGTGCCATACTCCGCCCTCCCTTCGCAGGTGCAGTGTCGGGCACTGTGGCAGCTGAGGACCACCTTAGAGGAAGAGGACCCTGAGGACCCCGACTCAGACTCAGGCAGAATGGAGGTCTACAGCTCTCCAGACCATCACTCGCCTGGGAGAACATCAGGTATGTAGCTCTCACCTGGTACTTGTGATGTGTATGGTACAGGCTAGTGATACTAGTGTGTAAGGAGGTTTCGTGTGCAAGGGGCTTGGTCATACAGCAAGCATATGTGAAAGTGATAGATAGGAGTGAGTGAAGACAAATGGTTTGTGGAACTTGACGAGCTGTTAGAGTGTGAGCAAGTTAATATTTTGTGAAGGGATTCGGGGAGAAAGGTTAATCGGACATGACGTACAGGAGGTGAAAAGTACAGTACATGCACTCTAAAGGAGGGGTTTGGGATACTTGTTATTTAGAGGGACATCTAAACTGTTGTATCTGCGCTCCTCTTGCAATACAGTGATAGTGTGAATGATGGTGAAAGTGTTTCTGTTTCGGGTCACCTTGCTTAGGTGGGAGAAGGCCAAAGTGTTAAAACAACCACTGTACAAAAATAATGAACTTCCAAGGACTTTTTCGATTTTTCACATTATCAAGGACCTGTGATAATGTGAGAAATCAAGAAGGTATTTGGAAGTTCACTATTTTTTCTTCAGTGATTTGTATTGTATATATATATATATAATATATATATATATATATATATATATATATATATATATATATATATATATAATATATATATATTGTGCAAGATAAGCCAAGTGAGGTGGAAATCTTTAGCTCAAATACTTTCACACTTCTCAGTGCATCATCAGGAGCTATGCAATGTTGCAAGGCAAGGCGTAGCACAGTGTGGGTCTGTCACCTTCAGTCTCTCTCAGAATGTGGGCCAACGGTTGGTGCCAACCCCGCAACACCACCATCCTCCCTCCCCCCATATGGGGGAAGGAGGGTTTTGAGATGTCAAGTATTATGAAATAAGAAGACATAACAGCCAGACCCAAGCTTTTTCTAGCCGCTTATATATATATATATATATATATATATATATATATATATATATATATATATATATATATATATATTATAATATATATATATGGTATTTCCCATGTAATAGTAACTCTAATCCTACTACATCGAAATTCATAATTCTTGTAATTACTAAATTTAGTGTGGAGTAAGTGATGTCTTCATGATCCTACTGAAGTCTCTCGGCTCAGGTTGATACATTTCATTACCTGATGTATGAAACCCATCCTGTGTGAGGAAATATGAAAGAGAATTGTTACTATTGTCATTTATTATTATTGTTGTTATTATTATATTTAAGGACATATTTAAACCCCTAGGGATTATACAGAGCTTGGAGAAAGAAAATCAATCTTATAGATACAAGGTGAGAACTTGTCCATTTCCTTGAATCAAGAGCTCCTCATGGCCATGAATATGACAGAGAAACATAGTTAATCTTTGTTCCCACATTGTAACTGTCATGTATAACAGAGTAGCACCACACTGTGGGTGTTTCCACAAAGCTATCATATAGGATAATGTATCTGCGTAGTGTGGATATTCCCACAACGTAACGACCATGTATAATAAGGTAGCAGCACACTGCGGGTGTTCCCACAATGTAACCACCATGTATAATAAGGTAACAGCACACTGTGGGTGCTCCAGTAGTGTAACATGTGAACAGGGTGGTAGCACAGTGAGGAGGAACCAAATCTTTAATTTTTTTGCATAAAACGTGCTTTCCATCTACTGACATGTAATTACACTCTTTTCCCTCTCTCACAGACTTGGAGAATGTCACCAGCGCCACTAGTCACACCACCTCCTTTGAGAGCAACACCGACGCTGTCGTGGGCGGCGAGACGGGCGTGGGAGTGGAGGCGGAAGAAGGCGAGGAGGCCGAGGTGGAGGTGGAGGAGCAGGAAGTGCAGGAGAGGGACCAGGAGCCGGAGCCACCCCAGACGCGCCTCACCCTGCCCTCCTCTGAAGCCAGACGGACCTCATACAGAGCAATCCTCGCAAACAGGCTTAAGGTCAGACTCTTATGCGATAATCAGCTTTGTTTCTTCCACGGCTTGTTAATGTGTGAGCCCTAAAACCTTGCAGCTTTCCCACGAATATAGCAATAATAAGAATAATGTGTTAGTTTTTTCCTAATCAACAATTTGCTGGATCAAGTTTGAACGCTTTATGAAGAACATTCATTGTCAGCCCTGTGGTAATCTGTTTTGCTATTTACAATATTATCTCTGACATCAGCTTATTTATTATATGAGTTAAAATATTATATTACAGATTTTAGTCAAATCACCTCACTGATTGCAGTGTGTGTGCAGGAACACATACACATTCACTTATGGACACATGCGCGCACACTCATAAATATATATATGCATATACCTAATACTGAAAATTATTGATATAATATATATATATATATATATATATATATATATATATATATATATATATATATATATATATATATATATAATAATTTCCACCCGCATGGGGGGTGGAAATCTTTAGCTAAAGATTTCCCCCCCCCCCCCCATGGCTTGTCCTGCGTAGTTAAGATCTCCCGTCTGCGATTGTTTGCGCATATATATATATATATATATATATATATATATATATATATATATATATATATATATATATATAATATATATATATATTGTGTTGTGTGTGTGTGTGTGGTGTGTGTGTGTGTGTGTGTGTGTGTGTGTGTGTGTGTCTGTGTGTTCTGTGTGTCTGTGTGTGTGTCTGTGTGTGTACAAATAATCACAGACAGGCGATCTTAACAATGCAAGACAAGCCGTGGGGTGAAAATCTTTTACTCAAGTAAATAAAATATCCCACATGACTTTACCCTAGTGAGCTTTGATGTCACAGCTATGTTCACCAGAGCCCATATCCCTGATTAGCTTACATATTTTGAAGAGGAACTAGAAAACTTCTCCTTGCCCTACCCCACGAACATAATAATTGAATTGTTTAAACTTTGTTTTACTTCTTGCAAGTTTGTGTTTGAAGGGAAATACTATGCTTAAAAACAAGGCATGACAATGGGAAATCCCCTCAGCCCCTTCCTCAGCAACTCGTATATGGAATTCTTTGAGACTATACTTCTTAAAGACATTCTCCCAGATAAAGCTGGTGGTTCAGATACGTAGATGATATTCTTTACCTGTGGCCTAGAGATCAGAACATTGATGAGTTCCTACCTAGGATCAATGGGCTAGTACTTTCCATTAAGTTCACACACGGAACATGAAATAAACAACACTTTGCCATTTCTAGATGTTTTAATCTATCATGTTGAGAGAAAATTCTAATTTACAGTCTATTAGAAGTCCACCAATATGTCGTCATACATTCATTACTATTCCAATCACGAATCTAGGGTAAAATTAAGTGTATTCCTCACAACGTTTTTGAGAGCCTTGCGCATCTGCAGTTCTGAGTATTTAGACGAGGAAATCAGCAAGACATTCAACATAGCCACAAACCTGAGATACCCTAGGAATTTTGTCGAAAAAGCACTAATGTCAGCAAGGGAGACTTTCTACAGGACTGAACCTAAGGAAGTAATTGTCAGGGAAAATGCACTAGTTTTATCACCTGTTACTGTGATCTTATTGCATATATATATATATATATATATATATATTAATATATATATATATAAATAAATATATATAATATATATATATATATATATATAATATATATATATATATATAATATATATGTAAGAAATTTGGATATTGGCTGTTTGGAGTGGCATCTAAACTCTCATATATGGGCACCTCTGCAAAGACAGTGATTATGTCTAAATGATGGTGAAAGTGTATCTTTCATTTTTTGGTCACCCTGCTTCGGTGGGAGACGGCAGGCGTGTTGAATGTATATACATACATACATACATACATACATATATATAGCACTACAAACTGCTGAGTAACTCGAATGTCTCTCAAATGACCTAATGATGCAATCTATGTGCCCAAAGTACACGACAAACAAATTATATATATATATAATATATATATATATATATATATATATATATATATATATATATATATAAAATATATATATATGTATTGCCCAGTAGTGAGAGCGACTCGCATTGCTGAGGTCCAGGGATCAAAACCCTGGGTTAAAAAAAAAGTGTATCCATAATTATATTGACTATTCTCCACAGCACCTGGATGCATCTACGAGGCCGCCGCTGTCGTCAGAAAACAGCTTCGATTCAGTGGACACTGAGTGTTCTTCCACCACTGACCTGAGTCGCCCTGAAGGCCTCACTACCAGTTTCGATTCGACCACCGATTGCCCCACGGACTCCACCAGTGACACTCACTCCCACCGTCTTCAGCAAATGAAGTCTGACAGTGGCTACAGAAGTCTGGAGGTCAACAATAGTCGTCCGCCCAAACTCAGCAAGAAACAAATTCACTTCGTCGAAGATAGTCTGGAAGCGCAAGAGATCGACATGGAGCGAGACCGCAGTCGTGAGAGACACAGAGACCCTGACTTTCTATTCGGCTCCCAGGACAGCATTGGGGATCCTCAGAGCAAGAGAGAACGACTTCGGAAGAGTGTCGCGCAATTTGAGAGACGCTGGGGTAAGACTCATGCCAAAAAGCGTAGAGAAGCCCTTCGGGAGAGACATGCCTCCCTCGACACTATTCTGGGAGGATCAATGGGCAGCTCATTCATTGGTGTTGGAGGCTCGCTGGAAGCCGATGCCACAACAACCGACGAAATCAGTGGGAAGAGATCCGTTTTGGCAAGATTCCTTCACACTCACCGCTATCCAGCTGCTCATTATCGCTTACTTCAGCGAGACTACTCCATCGATGAAAAATCGGACCGTTTATTTAAAGAATTCAGCCGTACTGAGATTCCGCTGGAATGGGAACCGGTCAGTAGGAGATGCAGTCGTCTGTATACTGGGCGTCGCCTTCACCGTCACCTGGATGCAGAGAGCTCGCCTAGATCACACCGCCGCAAACTCTCACCCCAGGACTCTATCGAAGAGGAAGATCAGGTGGCAGCAGCGTTATGGGCGGGTGAAGTGTCGAGACCAGAGTCTCTTGCGGGGTCTATCGGTGGGGAGGATATCCCTGCCTTTGCCCTTACCGAAGAAGCTGAATGATTGTGTCTAGCATGTTAAGATTACTCGCAAAAGAGATTAATATCACCGTCAAAACAAAGTCTATCGCAAAACTGTAATACAGTAGAATAATACATACAAAGTACCAATAAAAATGGATTATAGTTATTTTCATGAGGAGGTCAAATGAACAAGATTAAAAAGTAATGGGCCCAGCCTAAAGAAGAAAAAAATGAACGTCCTTCATGCTGCGATCGTTTCTAGGGACTGTGTGTGAGTGATTGCGAATCCTCTTTGTATTACTGGAAGATATAATAGCATATCCTTCTCTTAAGAATCTCGTCGACTAGTCTACTATCATTAGTTCTTCTTACCGGTTAGTGAAAAAGTGTGAATGGGGTAGAAAATATGTAGAAGACCTAGAAGAGAAAGCAAATGGTCAAACAGTGAATCGCAGAGAGGGAAGGATGCTCCTGGGGCATTGAGAAACTGTATGTTATCTGAAACCCCCCAGAAAAAGGGAGAGTAAACGAGTGAGTTACATTCTCGTGTGTGTTCACAAAGCCCTTGTCCCACTCGTTCTTGTCCCATGTGTCGTTCTCTCAGAACACTGCTGATGAGAAGAGCAACAATAATGCAATTCTAACATTACTACATCATACACTGGTGAAGTAGAATCGTGTAATGTAGCAAACTAAAAAAAAGGACAAACTAATAATGGCCTTTGAATGAGTATGGATGATTTAGGGAAAATGAAAAAATGTATTAAAACATGTAGAAATGCAACCAGTCGGTTGAGATAATGTGGAGATACAGGCACTTAGGTAAGAGAATGTGGAGATACAGCCAATTGGCTGAGATTATGTAGAAATTCAGTCAACTGACCAAAAAATGTAGGTAAAGCCAATTGGCTGAGGCATTGTAGAAGTACAGCCAATTGGCTAAGATAATGTAGAGATACAGCCATTTATCTTAATTAGAGACATGGCCAGTTGGCTAACATAACGTAGCTACAGCCAAGCGACTGAGAAACTGTAAAGATACAGTCCACTGGCTACGAGAAACAAATCATTATTGATAAGTATATTTAGTACATACGTAGAGAAGTACTGTATAGGTCCCAATTGTAATATTTAATCTAACAAATTTCAACCGAGATATTATTAGAGAGTACACATGTGCTACAGGGATGAATGATATTACTTCAAGTGAGGTACAGCAGTACTCTGCAATACACATTTGTGATCAATTATAGGGTTAAGAGTCTATATTAAGTTGATAGATTTTTAACCTATGAGGCATATATATATATAGTGAGACAAGAGCATAGGAAATCCAGGCCGAGATTGTAAGGAATCTCTAAGCAAGATCAACAGCATCCGGCTCCTCGTGACATCTCATTTTTTTTCCACTTAAGAAATCCATCTTGAGTTTGTTGAGTGCAGTTTGGTTACTACACCTCGCAGTAGTTATGTTAAGTGTTGAAGGGCAAGACTTGCCCACAAATATGGTAAAAAAAAAAAGCGCTATGTTTAGAGCGAACTTTCATTAAGAGACGACGGTTTTGCTCTAGGAAGAGCTGTATCGCTAATGACTTAGTAATACTTTACTAAAGCTGTATTAAGTCAGTGACTTGGTAACATTCAGAGCTGTATCAAGTTACTGACTTGATAATGATCTGATAAAGCTCTACTTAGAGCGAAACGTAGCATGCAAATAAAAGTCTGCTTTGCACTCAGTCGTTTTACCATAGTTACGCAAGGAGATAAACTCTGTTAACTCCATCCATTTTTTTTAGTTGTGTTCTCAAGCATCATGGGAGCATCACATTCAGTGGTTCAAACTATGATTGTTCAGACTCTGCTCTGTCTGCACTCCGGAAGTGTCTCGTTATTATTCTAAGATAAACGCTGACGATATTCAAATTGAAATTTTTAAGTTGCATATGTTCGTCAACCTTTCTGTCTCTAAAGATTCTTTCATGGTCGCATACTGATGGAGACTGTACAAGTTAGTGACCCACGGTTCTTGAATTAATAAGAGACACCTGGAGAGCAGACACGCCTCTGTGATCAATCGGCTGTTGTCTCTTGCATAAGATCCATTTCAAGAATTGAGGCCTTTATGCTGCAATTAATTTGTTCTGGTTAGGGAAAGGTATATCTGATGATATGTAGGTTGATAAATGTACTCTAAGAGTCGTCCAGATGAGTGCTGGCAACTCGTCCCTGTGGAAAATTGTTCTGCAGGTTCGACACGCGTGGCCGACTTCTATGGAAAAGGAATTGATGTGAAGGTTCACCTGCACAGGTCACGTGAATGTGCTGTTGGCATCAAATGAAGGTAGCTTCTCTACATCGCGCGAAACAAAACGGTCTTACTTGGTTCTTAAACTTAAACATACCGAAGTAGGACCACAAACACCTGCATGTGTCAGATGAGCTAAGATAATCGAAGCCACTTCCTTCAGAAACGAGAATACATGATAGAAAACAAGGTAGTCGAGAAATTTTAAGATATATATTATACACGCTACTTTCTTTAGAGCTGATGTGGTTCATAACGTTATCACAGTAATACTATGATGATCTCACATCGAGTATTCCTAAGCAGAACAAGTTAGTCTACAGTATGCTAAGATAAGTTAGAAAAGGTTAGATAAGATGCCAGATTTATTGATGGCTTCTTGACGCTCGTTACAACTGCATTCCACACACACAACCATCGATTTCAATTTTCCAGCCCATCAGAATCTTTATATTGCGCGATATATACGGATCTCGCCCTAACCATTAGCAATATCTCTGGTCGTATTTTATGATGATTTCAAACGTGTTAATAAACAATTGACTAATCACCAGAATTCCATAGTTGTGTTGGAAACTTCAGCTGCAGCGAGCAAAGCCAAACAGAAACAGTAGGTCAAAAGTCATCCACAAACTAACAATTAGTATTTAACTTACGAGGCAGAACCAAAGCGACACCAGAAGAGCTTGCTGGCTGGCAGCGAGCGGGTCATTCAAGTAGCAAGAATCCTGAGGATTTACGGGTTTATACTATAGCGACGTTGTCAGTCCCACCTGATGACAGCACCATTCATCACAACATTGTTTACATTGGACACAAGTTACAGTGCTACGTCTCCCTTTGGTTTGTGTAGTTTAGGTCATGCGGATATATGTTTAGCACCTACATCCATAAAATTTCCTCAGGTTTTTGTATGACTCGTTAAATGAGGTGATTCTTTTTTTTTAATTTAAGATGTAGCATCGCCTTTCTTCTTACTCAAAATTCAGCTAAGCATAAAAAAAAGAGCGCCTTCAAATGCGGCATCTAGAAGGTAGAGAATTAGTTAAAGTAGCGAAGGGTGTAGTTTGTGAAGTGTAGAATTTATAGTGAGGTCTCAAATGCACTAGTAAGAGTAGAGCAGTGACGGGTGTATAGTAGTGTAGTACACAGTGAGGCCTCAACCAAGGACACTGCGAGTTAACAGCAGTGAAGTGTGTAGCATGTGTAGTGCTGTACTTATAGAAAGGCCTCAATCAAGATCATTAGTGAGGTAACTGCCATATATTTCAGCTGCATCAAGAAAGGTCAGTTTTCTTCGTCTTCTCTTATACCAGATAGTAGTTTCGAGTTGGTTGACTACCCAACAGTACCAAAACCTACTCTTCAAGTGTCTTAACTATACCTTGGCATAGCTCCCATGTATATTCTTCTACTTAGGAATTTCAGCAATAGGCACCTTTTGCTCTAAAGTCATATACATTTCGAAATACGTGGCAACTTTACATGTATATATGTATGTATATATGTATGTATATATATATATATATATATATATATATATATATATATATATATATATATATATATATATATATATATACATTATATATATATATATATATATATAATTATATTAGTAGAGCCGGGTATTCTTCACATGAACATAAAGCTCTAGAGACTGGTGTAGAGGTGGGACTGCCAAATATCGCTGTACATGCTTTTTAGGTCGGGATTCTCACATAGTGTTTACCTATAATATATGATCCTTTAACTCTTGAGCATGTGAAGCTGTTGTCTTCAGTACTACAGCTCAGTTGGACAGCTTCTTCTTCAATGTGTTCGTCTTTCCTGTCAACATTTCCGAGCTTACCAAAGACATAATTTATCATTCAGCTCCCACTGCATGTGTTTACCCTGTTTCTGTTTAAGTGTGTGTGTGTGTTGAAGTCATTCGAAGTATTCTTTAGAATATAGAGGGATATTCCCAGTCGTATCTTCAATGTACATGACTCTCACGCAAACATATTAGATTCTGACTCCAGTTACTTCCTTAACTCTCTTCAGTGGCGTCACTAGCGGATCAGATACCTTACTGAATGCGAATGGAAACGACTGGTAATTTTGTGTTTGATTAACACCTGAACACTGGCCCTAGAGGTTGATTTTAGCTAATGACAGACATACGATAGGCAGTCTCAGGGTCGGTCATGGGTATGCCCTGTTCACGGGTTTCTTGTTGGCATTGTCGTGGTCCAGATAACCTTGTTGTTGGAGCACCTGAAGCAAGACCAAGGAAAAAGATTGACACACAATATTCAACATCTGAGCTGACGAGAAAATATAAGAATAGATAATTCATCAACATGCTACTGTTTGTTATAAATCTAAAAATTATTAATTGTTATGTTCATCTTTTCTTTGAAATTCTTTCTCACACGCTTTTTTTCAAATTTGGATGAAGCAATGAGAAACACTGAAACAATACATACAGTGTGTCGTAATTAAAGATTCTTCGTGATATTTCTTGAAAGTCTTTTTCTACACTATGAGGATCACCTTAATTTAGGGTAGAGAAAGGTGAGGAGGAGGAGGAGGAGGTGGAGGGGAAGAGACGAGACCAGGTGCTCCTCAGCGCTGCCCCGAAACAATTCTCCAATGTTTTTATATTTACTTATCACCTTTGCTTCGATAAGCTCATTCTGAGTAGGGATTAGTAAGTCTTTAGCAGTCATATATAGTCAGTATCTCAGAGTAGATCCTAATAAACCAAAAATGCTGAAACGACAGTAAAAAAAAAATAAACTTGAAACCCAGACAAGAACTTAAGTAGGTCGATCACTGAACCCGACCCAAAGTTTCCTGAGCGTCTCTAAGTGTCTTCTCCAGGTCGAGTGACTCGCCTATACGTGCCAAAAAAAAATATACCGGGATCTTGAGTACACTGATGTGCCAGTCTTGAAAGCTATACTTTATTTTCTATTTCCGTGTTTATTATCATTTCCTTTAGAAAGCTAGTCATCATCATAGAGTAACTTAAATCCTCACCATGCATGAAAAGTCCAACCCCAGCTTAGCAGCTTTAGCGGTTGTCATAAGCAAATATTCTTATACTAATATATATATATATATATATATATATTTTATATATATATTTTATATATATATATATATATATATATATAATGTAATAAACCCCCTTCAAACTACTCGTAGATCTTACACACAGTTTAGTCTTTCCCATTTTCCTTCATTCCAAAGGGAAATTAGACGATCTGACCAAGAGAAACAGAGTTAATGTGCACGTAGTAGACATTATGTTTATTATTTGTAACCTTGATTAGACATTAGTCAAATGGAAATTTAGAGTCCGTGGCGCGATACTCTGCCTTCTCTTGTTCGGACCGCAGCTTTCACAGCGGATGACAAGGAAAGACAAAAGCAAAAACAATGTGTAAAATAGCAATCATGTCTTTCATCGTAAAGAATAAATTGTACAGGTAAACAGTGAAGAGACAGTCACTGTCACGGAGAGGCTGGAGTAACGTACCTCTCTACCTTCACCATTACAACGCCTTATCAACTTCATCTCTCTTTAAGTCCTTCCCATAGACTCTAACTATCCAGCTTATCAGTCTCTATGAGGCTCTAGTCTCTTACCTACTCTATATATTATACATCTACTCGCATAGTTATTAATGTAGCTTCATCTTCCATGTAAAAATATGAAAATATTCATGTTAGGAGGTTTAAAATGATTTTTTACAAATATATTATTCCCTCCCGTTTTATATTGTCATTATAGCAACATAAGGTTTACTTGCTTTTAGTTGTCATTGTAATGTATAAGAAATGTACATCATAGTTGATTATTTATATAAAAAAAACACAAATTTCGTTCTGAATTTTGTGAATGATTCAATACCACCGTAATACGTTTTACATCTCCATCTTTTCTTCGTATTTATAGTAGGGAACCTGTCTATGATGTTCTGTCTCGTTAGAAATTTTGTTATATTGTTCTCAGTAGATTCTAAAGACAAAAAATACGATACAATCAAACACAACCTATAAGTAGAGGGGTATAGAGGTGGCGGGCGTAGTGCACAACAGTGGTCATAGAGCTCACGTTCGTGGGTACAAATCACATGAACTTCAGCCTTGTGAGCCAAAGTTTGTGTGTTATCCTTGATCTGCCCCGACCCTTGTGTCTCTCCTGCCTTGATTGTTAAACTACCTTGTTAGTACCTTTTGAGCAAATGTTTATACATATAAATAGATTTATAGTGAATTGATTCTCCGGTGAAACTGTATTCGGTTAAAATAGCAGACACGAATGAGGTAGTGTAGAATGAGTCTATACTGTATTAAGTTCCATATTTATTTTGTAGTTTGATTAGCACTTGATTGCAGTTCATCCCAACTTTGTATGTGTTGTGCCAGCTTGCGAGACCTCTCAGGTGGATAATATTAGTCGAAAAATTCGGAAAATATCAGTTATATTTACTAAGTGTAAACATGTTTCTTATTTTGTAAAAAAGAAAACAAAAGAAAATGTACCTTGATTTGTAAACATATCCCTTGATGTGTAAATACATTTTTTAATTTATGAACATATCCCTTGATTTGTAAATATATCCCTTAATTTGTAAGTATATTCCTTGATTTGTAAACATTATCTGATTTGTAAATATATCCCTTGATTTGTAAACGTATTCGTTGATTTGTAAACGTATTCCTTGATTTATTAATATATCCCACGATTTTGTAAACATGACCTTGATTTGTAAACATATAGATTGATCTGTAAACATATTTTATGATTTATCAACTTTACACCTCAACATACTCTATGACACATGAGTGACCATCTGTTCTCAACTCCCTTCATTCACAATGACCTTTTATCAACTGATACACAATTAGCTCTCTCGCACAAACACACCAACACGGAGACAATAAAACAGCAATTGAAACTGTTGAATTCCATCTACATACTGAGACCGTCTTCAGCACACAGACTAAAATTGGGCTAAAATAGACTGGACTCATTTGAATTACTATTTCAGTGTCTAGATGTATGTGAGGTAATCAAGGTTCAAGGACCTAAACAGCTTCACTGAAGGTGTTTTAGGGGAATGCTTTTCTGCTCATTTCTTTCATGTGGGGTCGTTTGGGCCACTAATCAACAATGTCAATTATATTTCTTTGTTTGGAATTAGCTATCCATTGTTGCCACAGAAAGATTAAACATTCGACTTTAGAGAGGTCGTTAGCGGTCATGTGTGTAATCAGACTACAAAAATTATATGTTAAATTTTGTAAGCCTTTGTTGTGCGAAAGTGAACGAGGTTAAAATCTTATTTTGCATTTGTACTTTTAAGTTCTAGCCGGCGATTGTTTGGTTGGTGCGTCACTGTAAGCGTCTCTGTGTACAATATTATGCACGCATGTGTGTGCATCGTATGGGGATACGCGTTGATGTGTTGATGGTGTTCATGAACTGGGTGGTGGTGGTCATGCACGGGGTGGTGGTGGTGGTCATGCACTGGGTGGTGGTGGTCATGCACGGGGTGGTGGTGGTCATGCACGGGGTGGTGGTGTATTCACCCAATGATTTTCGTACGTGACTCACGAGTGAATCGTGAATCTACGCATGTAGATATATTGGCTCATCACTGGCAAACGTGATATGTATCCTGTTTGCCGGTGATACATGAGCATGTATTCTAATGCAGATACATACATGTGTGCAAAAAAAAAAGACTGATATAATAACATTAACAGAGTGAGAAAGGGTGACACACACACATGTATAAGTGGTCGACTTTATGCATAAATGTATAAATACTATACAGTGATTTGCCAAACTAAACATTCGTACACTGGAGTTAAAATACATATGTATTTAATTCATCTCTTCGTGAGTCAGTATGGTATTGAAACTTCTTTTAGTTCAGGTCATAACACCTTTTTCTCTAGTGCGCAACACCCTTGTGGGTTTTTCAGTTCCTCCAGAGCTTCTTCACTACTTATCTCCGAGACAATGTGGAAAAAATAAAACCCAACCGTTGATTACCTCATTGTTTTATTTGGCCCATGTGAGAAGCCTGTCTCATGGCGGTGGTGACATAAACCCCTTTGCGGCGTTTTAATATTCATGAAAACTGCTCAACCTGTATAGGTCATGAGCAATGGTCACTATTTTTTTACTCGCCAACAGTGGACGGAATGGCAGCTGTGTGCGCAGTAAATAAGCCTGGTAGCTAAAGCTGTCACCTCACACGACGATGGTCTGGGTTCTTTT